ACTCTCTCTCTCTCTCTCTCTCTCTCTCTCTCTCTCTCTCTCTCTCTCTCTCTCTCTCTCTCTCTCTCTGCGCGCGGTGTGAGTGCGCCTTTGTGCGCGATTGTGTCAATGGGGGCGTAAAACACCTAATCACTTGTGCTTGTGTCCACAGTGTCCGCGGTCCTGTTGTGAGCGTGTCCAGTCCAGGCGGTCATCCCACGGGCGGCGCCACTCTCCCCCCTAATCTGGTCGTGGCAGGTACGGGCTTGGACAGTGGTCTGGGTGTCAGCTGACAGCTAGCTGTCTGGACATACCCGATATCTAACACAGCAAGAAGCAAATATCCCCCCCCCCCCTTTGCACTCAGAAGCGGGAACAACTACCATCATCATTCCCATACCCCCCCTCCCCTTCCCATTAATCATTCTTGTTGTCAACCTCGTCTCTTTTTTCACATTTGGGTGCTACACAGATTTCACCATTAGATACAAACTAACAGAATGTCGGGACTTTGTACAAAATTGAAAGATCTGTTCTCGATTTTGTAAATGCCATTGACCTTTACCAAAAAATGTAAACAATATCATTATTTTAATCGAATGAAAATTGTTGTTTTTAAGACAAATTTTTATCATTTTTAACCTAAGTCATTGAACAAACCGTGCTGTGAACTGTTGGAAATGCAATCAACTCGTGTTTCGCGCTCTTATATGACCTTATGCAGTTGCGAGCAACATACTACCCTTATTAAACTAAATAAAAACATAAACACTTCTTCATAATTTTAGCAAATAACTTTTTCAGCTGTGGTAGTCTAATAACTAAAAAATTACCCGATCTGTGGGCTGACTCTAGCGATGACAACACTCGTAGCTGTTATCCTATCTACAGGCTTCACTTTACTAGAGATAAACTGAAATGGGTTGTGGGTTGTTGGCGGGTGCTCTGGTGGGGGTTACTCATTCTTTTCTATCGAACGTCTACCATCTTTATCGAATATCTTTCCTCATTTTTTGTGTTTGTTACTCTCTTGTAACACCTTCAGTCTTGATCCTCACTTATATGACCTTATTGTGTTGCAAGTGCTGCAAAACTTACTAAAGCTAAATAGTAAAACCAAAATGGATTAAGAGGAAAACAATTATTGTTGGACAGTACGAAGCTTCGAAACTTTATATCAGATTTAGAGGCCAAAGCTCCATACTCCTTGTATCGCCTGACTTGCTGATCTAGAATCCATTAATAATAAATACTATCCTTAAAAAAATTAATTTAGGCTAGCGAGATTTTGAATGGTGTTTCACATGGACGATGGTTTCAATCATTTCGCCAAGTAGTTTTCGGGTGGGAAT